CAGGTCCTGATTCAAGTCTACAGGTTTTCAGGGTTCTCCCAGGGATTTGGGAGAAAGAAAAGAAACAAAAAAGAATTACTAAAGAAAAAAAAAATTTAAATCTGCACAAAATTTTAATTGGTTTCTATCCCTTTGTTTGCCTAGAAATCGATAGTGTGATTGTATCAATTTGAACCCAAAAAATTAGCTAAATCGGCGATTTAAGGTTATTGCGCAATGGACCTGCCCTATGACCTTCAACCTTTGGGGGGTCATGCAGGCGTCAACAGCGCCCTCCCCCATGCCTTGCCAGTCCGTTTTCGTGGGCAAATTTCTGCTTTTTTAGAGGTTTTGCGACCTAAAAACTCACATCAAAGGAAAAATACACCACAGACGACATTTTCATGGTAAATATCGATAAATGGACCAGGCATTTTTCTGTCCCGTTGCCGATTTTGCTGATTTTCGCCATGTGCTTATAATTTGTTTACGTCGATAGCTACCTTTCCTCGTCCGGTTTTATGGGCAAATTTCCGCTTTTTTAGACGTTTTGGGACTAAAAGACCGACAAAGGGGGAAAAATAAATCATATACATTATTTTTATGAGAAATACTGCTATCATGGACCAGACATTTTTCTTTCGCGTTGCCGAATTTTTGCGGCCGCCGCATGCTGATGGTGCAGTACGGTAGGGAATTTTCTACGATTAGTTCGTAAATGTATCGGCTTTTAAACTTATTTTCGGAGTCGATGGCTTTGTTTTACAAACAAATCAGACAAATTATTAGCGTTGTTTACACGACTTCAAAAGGCTAGCGGGGCGCCCGATGTTCCACCAATGACAGCGATTCTCTCGGTAGCGTCGTGCAAAATGTTTTGGTTCAGCAATATGCAGGGGTCCACACAAAAATAAGGCTAGGGTCGGCGGTTTTTTTTAGGGTCGGTCGGGAAACAGGAAACACAACATTTATTTTCCTAGGCCTGACCTTTCTCTCAGCACCCTGTTGAGCAGTTCCACCGGTGGAGCCTCCACTTCCACCGCACACTTCCACAGTCGGAGAGGGTGGCCATCACCAACCTTCTTGTAGGTTAGTTCCACATCATTTGGGCAAGAGACAGACACCCAGCCCCGAAACTTGTCTCGGGATTCCTGACACAATCAAACAACAGACATCAGATGTTTTCTTGCATTAGACTTATGATAGAAACAATTCTTCTTTTGAAATTGTTTACAGGAACAAAAGAGTTGTTAATGATGTTTCCTTCTGGTTTTCTGTGTCATTTAGTTGTCAGTTCCTCATCTGTACTCTCCAATCTTCACAATACCAAGATGTGAAACTAACTTATGCTTTGCCCACCCCAATCAAGAAGGTAATATACATGAACATTCTACAGAGAGATCTCACCAGTGTAACACTTGTTGGAAACCTGTGTCCATTTTAAGTTGGTTTATCACGTTATAGATTGGCTATACCCAAGATCCAAAACATCCAAATTTACACAACCCTTTTTTGACCTGTATTTAACCTTGAACGTATTGTCTTCAGCCTAAGCTGCTTTTAAAAAGCTCAATGAAGGGAGGATGGGCAGAATTCACAATGCATTGTTATTTAGCTACACAATAGTTTCAGCAATAGATAATAAACAAAAAGTCATTTTATACAAATAAATTCTAAATCGTCAACAATCCTCTACTCAACAAACTTCTGCCAGGTTATTACACACCATATTCCATGTAGTCATTCCATATCTGGATTTGATTTCTGAGTCCTACAGACATGCAGGTACACAGCATCCAAGCAGCCCCGCGTCTAACTCACCTTCAGCAGCCCCTGAATGCAGTTCTCGATGTAGTTATGCCAATCAGAGCTCTCATCAAACTTCTTCCTGCCCAGCTGGTCCAGTGTGACAGGGTCTCCCTGCTCCATGTAGGTGAACCGGCATTGCATCATGGTGTCTTCTGGGACCTGTGGAGGCAGCACAGATCAGGGTAAGAGTAGCAACAAATGGGACATTGAAACATGGCTGAATTATACTTCTTGTAACAAGGGATATTTTTCCTTCCCATATGACAGTGCTCTTCAGAATTATTCCCCGAGATACAGGAAACAGTCACTACACTTCAAGTTGAACTCAAGTTGATGGTGTGCAGCCCATAAGAGACTTGGTTGTGCCCCCCTCCCCCTAACCTGGCACATAATAACATGTATGGCATCACACAGGTACAGTAGGTCTTCACTTCTGCTCAAACACAGGGCTGGTTGACATCATTACACTCGGGACAGAAGTAACTATCAGTATTAGCTGTTTTGTTTCCTGTCCCAAATGTCTTGTGCTAACTGCTTGATTAAAAACTTACCTGGAAGAGTTCCTGGCATTCTGTAATCATCATTGCGAGGCATTCATGGGTTGCCTGAGAAGGATACATGTACATTATTAGACAAGACATGTAAGAATATGTCAAAGCATGACACCTTTAAATACTTAATGTCAAGCATATGCAAACATATAGTAGACAAATTATGTAGCTACAGCTACTGTATGTGTTTTAAAAGAGATAAACGGTGACTAACAGTAGAGAATAAATAGCATATTGTTTTACTGTAATAATACATAGACTTTTATGTTTTTAGGTCTCAGTGTTAGAATGTAGCACCTCAATGTTCAATTCCATGTTTTATATAATCTAGACCACGTATGGATGGTCGCTGCACATTTAGCCCATCTGGGCAAGAATATGCAGTAAAGATTACCTGTATTCAATCATTACAGAAAGATAAGTGTGGGATAGGGAGGTGTGTGCAGAAGTACAATGTCAATGTTAACCTTGTAAGTGAAATAGTAAGTTCATTAAACACCTGCCCTGAAAAGTTCACCAATTCTGATAGTCTAAGCCTGCATAGTGCTGTTTGTAGCTGATGTAGGTGGCTCTAGACATCGAAACATAAGCAGGTGTGCTACAGCACAGGTTGTGTAAGAAGAAAATCCCTGTATACTACAAAACTGTACATCAACACTTACCACGTTCTCACTTAGCTCTCTCTCGTTGGGCCGTCCGGAGCGGTGGCGCCTGGTGAGGGCGTGATCGCCGCGGCGTGGTCCAGCGATGTGGAACAGAGACGGCGCAAAGCACACGGCCAGGTTATACGGTGTCATCTGGTTCTTCTCCACATTCTTGGCCACTTCACAGAGGAAGAGCAGGAGGGTCTGCAGGACTTCCCGGTTCTCGTCCGGCATGAGCATGACGGCAGCCTGCATGGCCTGCAGACGCAGATCCATGGGGAGACCTGAGGACACAGAACACAGAAGTCAGCAATAACTCCCTGTAATTCTATAACCAATAAAACAAGAATTGCACTTAACATCTCAAAGGGGGCTGAACCAACACATGGGCCTCCCCCAGATACAGGTTTAATGTGGCCAGCATAATCTGTTTGTATGCACAGGTTATCTTTGTCTTCTAGTTAGTTTGTCTGCACCACCGCCAAAAGTGAGAAGGTTTGATGCAGTAAAATGTATAGTAGGGTGCACAAGCAAGTTAAAAGAAATTTATATGCTTGGGTTCAGGGTAAAACCTACAAAATATGTGAAAATCAGCTCAAGTTTACCGGCTAGTTTTCCTGTAAAACCCAAATATGAAATTTTAAATATGACCAAGACAATAATTAGGTGCATAATTTCAATTTAGAAGAAAATGGGGTACACACAAACACACAAATGCTTCTTACGTGTAAAGATGCTGATGAAAGTCTCCGACAGCTTGTTTGTGAGCAGCGGTTCTGGCAATTCACGGAAGTACTGCTTCAACATGTCTGCAACATCATAGCACATCATGCCTTCGTAGCTCAGGCTGTCTGGGTTGGTTTCGTTCATGCGCTTCAGGGCCTGGATGCGCGAGCGTGCCCCAGACTTACGGAAGAGGCCGACCTAAAACAGCAAACAGTCATGCCTTCAGTCATGCTATCACAGTTATCAACAACTGATAAACTCATATTTTCCAAGAACTATCGTAGAGTGGAACTCATCGGCACCAAGTACAGTTGGGGCATCATCATTAGAAAGCTTTAAACAACTCCTGCAATTACATGTAGCAGTTAGTAGAGTATTCAACAATCAGTGACTGTTTTGAAAGGTAGCAAACATGTACCTCTGTACTGTTAATTGATAAGTGACTGATGAACCTCTTTACAACGATATCCTACAGTTAGATGTGCAAAGATTGGGTGTAACAGGTCATTCGGTGTAATATACACTTTTTACCTAGGTGCTGCCCCACATGCCTACAGAGCTGGTGTGTTATGCTGAAGGGTGGTTATACCAGCTATACAGATACAGAGCTGGTGTGTTACACCGAAGGGCGGTTATACCGGCTATACAGATACAGAAGCTGGTGTGTTACGCCGAAGGGCAGTTATACCGGTTATACAGATACAGAAGCTGGTGTGTTACGCCAAAGGGCAGTTATACCGGCTATACAGATACAGAAGCTGGTGTGTTACGCCAAAGGGCAGTTATACCGGTTATACAGATACAGAAGCTGGTGTGTTACGCCGAAGGGCAGTTATACCGGCTATACAGATACAGAAGCTGGTGTGTTATGCTGAAGGGTGGTTATACCGGCTATACAGATACAGAAGCTGGTGTGTTGCGCCGAAGGGCAGTTATACCGGCTATACAGATACAGAAGCTGGTGTGTTACGCCGAAGGGCAGTTATACCGGCTATTCTGATACAGAAGCTGGTGTGTTATGCCGAAGGACAGTTATACCAGCTATACAGATACAGAAGCTGGTGTGTTACTCCGAAGGGCGGTTATACCGGCTATACTGGTACTGATACAGACCTGGTCCAGGGCTGTCCTGCGCAAGTAGTCCATGGCATAGATGATGGACTGTGGGAGAGGCTGGCCTGTATGCTGCAGCACATGTAGCAGTGGGATCCCAAACACTGCTTTATCTGCACAGTAAGGAACAGAAGACATGTAAAACCACACACAACTGACAGGGCAACATTCTCCTGACACATTTATATTCCTTTTGTTCTATGGATATCTTGTACATGATCAGGGCTCAAAATTCATTTTTGGGAAAATATTTCTGGGTGCACCATATAAGATAAGTAGAATGTATGCAAAAACTAAATGTTTCATTTCTAAAGAAAGGTACAATAAGTACAATGATTTTGTTATTTTTCTGACACTCAGATGCTAAGAATTTGCTCCATAACATCTTGACATACGTAAACCTACAAAAATATTTACGAAGTGTCTTCTTGATCTACAGATTCATGTATCACTAACCCTAATATGACCCAGTACATACCTTTATACTCAGGGGCTCGTATTCTTTTCATGAAACGAGGCATTGCCCTAGGAGACAAAGCAAACTATTAGTTTTGAGCACAGATTGCAATTCCTGTGTACAAGTGGCAAAAAACTGTTCTACAACAATCAACATGTGCTGTGGGTCGGATTTTTTCAGCGTGTAAACAGGCCCGCCACCAGCACCGTGATTTTTGTCTGGCACACAATGAGTCACACAAAAACATCTACAGTAACTCTTATAATTCCACCATGTTTATGGTAATTCTCAAGTGATACTTTAGGCCAAAGCAAGTTAATTTTATGGATGGCATCCTCTGCAGACTCCAAATCTAATGCGAGCGGGCAAAAAAAACAACAAGGTGGGCTGAAAAAACAAGGTTCCCACATTTTCAAATTATGGCTCAATCATTGGACAGATGGTTTTGATTTAGTGGAAACATAAAATATACACAGCCAGTACCACATATCACTGCATAAAAGTGAAAAACAAAACAAATCAGAGCCTTTTCTTGTCTCCTGTCTTCATAGTTATCTGCCATCCACCTTCCGGCATGGCAACAGACATATTTGCCCATTTTTGGCATGTTGACCACTGTCAGAAAGCAACAAAATTTGTTTTTTTCCCAAAATCAATCGAAAATTAATGCGTGTGCTCATGTCATCCATTAAAATTACTTGCTGTGGCCTTAGTACCAATACTACTAATAGTCCAGTAGCAGGACTGTGATGCCTCACCAGTTCCAGCCGCTGCGGTTGGAGGGAGAGTATCTCTCCATCAGAGCGGTGAGCTTGAGGAGCGACAGTTTGCGCAGGACGAGAAGCTGCCCTGCTGACAGGATGTGGACCTGGAGAGGCTGGGCCTGCAGGGCGGGGCGCCCAGACTTCTGGAAACTGTGCCAGCGCACCCGGGAACGCCTGCCTCTGTACGCAGAAGGAAGGACTCGGTTTTCATTCCAATTTTTGGTTGATTTCCAGATTAAGCACGGTTAGAAATTCATTTATCGGAATAAGTGCACCGGTACCGGTGTTCCCAACCTAAAGAATTGGGTGCACAAAATAACTTTGGGGTGTATCATATAAGATTAAATAAGCAGAATGTCAGGGAAAATTAATCATCTAATGAATCATCTTCTAATGAAAAGTACTAACAAAGCTGTATACTACTGTAACAGTAGTATACAGCTTTGTTAGTACTTTTCATAGTGTACATTTAACATCTTTACATACATAAGCCTACACAAAAATATTCGGGTGCACTGGTGCACCCACAAAAAAATTGAGTACACAGCTCCAAATTTGGGTGCACTAAGGTGCATATGCAACCAGTATTTAAAGCCGTTAAGGAAACAATCCACAGCAAATAAAGATGCAGCAATCATGCATAGGAATAAAGAATAATCAAATGAATTAAATAAGAAAGGATTAAATTAATTGAATATAGAAAAACACAGAAAAACTGAAAACAGTGTTGTAGGAAAACCACTTACACAGCAAGCTTGTTCAAGCAGGTTCCTGAGTCCTTTGCTTTCTGTGTGACTCCCCTTCGCTCGTCCAGCTCGTCCCAGGAACTGGACGTGCCCATGTCGCTGTCCGGCAGGGCTGGCCTGTCCTGTATCTCCAGCTGGACCTGCTGGTGCAGGGGGGACAGCGTGGGAGGGGCGCTGCCCGGGTTATGGCTGCCGTCCTCGTCAAAGTCTGACAAACTCATTGACATGATCTCCTGACTCAGTCCGCTGATGCTCTGCAGGATCTCCTCCACGGCAGCCACCTTATCCTGTGGTGCTGCAATGTCTCCCGCAGTGTCCAATGATGATGTGGGAACGTTGTCGTAGATACTATGTGTCGCTAGAGAGTCTTCTGAGGTTTGTCTCCTTATGACTGGGCGCCACACGTCCCTGCATGTACCACTGCCCAGGTTAAAGCTCCCAGTGTGGTAGTTCAACATGCTCCCGCAGGACGTGGAAATGCAACCGTTTCGAACAACACTGCCTCTGTTGAAACCTTCGCGGCGAGAAATCGACTCATTTCTTCTGTTGTACGTGTTGGGGCTGTATTTGGCAGTTGTAGTTTTCAAACTGTTCAGGATGTCATCATCAAAAACACAGCCTTCACGTCTGCTCCTTGAGTGAGGGCTGGCCGCCTGTCTCCTGACCACCTCACCTGGTACGACCCTACCCTGCACGTTGGAATTCTCATCAGTCTTCCTGACGTCCACACAGTTCAGCCGGTCCATCCTGACTTGGTTCACGGTGCTCTCCTGAAGCACTGGCCCGCTGATGACAACACGGTCCTTACTATGTATCCTCTTCCTGCTGGAACTCCGACTACGCTTTCGTCTCAACGTGTCCATCCTTTTCAGGAGTCCCTTCACTCCCCGGTGGTCCCTGCTGTGGTCATTTGGTAGGGGCGCTTTTGGCTCACCCGGCTCAATTTCTATCGTAACTGGAAGTAGTCCAGGCACGTCTGTGTGTGGTGATTTGGTGTTCTGGCTGGACACAGGTCGGGATGACTTCCTACTGATGCAGGGGCTGCGCAGGTAGCCCCCTGTCTGGCTATCAAAACTGCTGGCACTAGTGTAGCTGTAGCTCTCCCCTCTATCACTACTATCAGTGAGTACACTGTCATAACTACTGTACGATGTGGTCAGCTGGGTGGGAATGTCTGAAGTCTGGACAGGCACCAGGTCCACTGTGACTTCTGGTACCTGGGGGAAGTCCTCCAGGCGAGACCATCGCCGACTGACACGCTGGAACTTCCACTTGTTACTGATGGCACACTGGTCTTCTTCATCAGAGTCATCCACCTGATACATAACAGCCAGACAACAGAAGGGTTAGCACACACATGTACCTGGCAGCACTGGCAAATACTATGCAGTGTGCAAAATACCTGGTTGCCCAGTTGCCCCGGGCAACCAAATTTTACTTGGGGCAACCTATTTCTGAACCTAGGTAGCCCAGTGTGCTACCTGAATTTGAAGAATGCCCCCCACCCAAATCATGCCCAATTGGGTTGCACCACTGTATCCGGCAGATGCTTTTTAATTTTAGGTATTAATGGCTATTACTAGTATAAGTTAACTAAAGGCTGTTAGAAATATTGTCAAATGCTTACGTATGTAACATTACATAATTTGAAGAAAGTAGTAACTTATAGGTGGGGCAACCTAAAATTCTGATGGGCAACCTAATTTTTGCCATAGGTTGCCCACTGGGCAACCTATGGGCAACCTGGTTAAAAAGTATTTTGTACACTGACTATATTCTTTTATTTGCAAAATCATGCCCTAGGGCTAATTGCTTTTACACAGTCAAAGACTGTTTGGAATAATCTGTTTCTGTTGGTCTCATAGTGAGGACACTGACTAATAAAATTTTATTTTCCACTGCATTCATTGGGCAATATTTACATAATCTCTTGTGCATGGGTAATTTTTTATAGCGGCCCCTTTCTCTATCTCTAGTGGATGTGCACAAAAACTGATGTTTGTTCTTCACTATGGCTACTTTGATATGATGAAATCAACTCTGATACAGCAGCAATAGTAATAACTGTATTGTCTTGTCCGCAAATTAGTGTTCTAAGGTAAAGAAGGAGTAGGATAAGATGCAGTGTCATAATAATGTCTCTTTAAGAAAACTGACATAGGCAAATAGCAGTTCACTGAGTAAATAAAGTAATGTGCAGATGTATTTTTAGAATAACTGAACTCACCACTTGTGGTCGTGGAGCTTCAATCCTCATGCTGGCACACCTGTTCAGGGTCCGAAGTCGTCTGAGGAGAGGACAAACTAATTATCCAAACTGAAGTCTTGGAACACGCACAAATTATTGGCTAGTTTGAAATCAAACATGTCAGCATATTGGGAATAACCGGAAAGGTATGAATAAATGTGGTAACTACAGGTATATCTTTGGACCTGCAATTCTGAACATGGTTGTATCAATTGTTGTACATCATTCTGATAAATTAAAGATAGCAAATTTTGTCCTTTCCAATATCAACCAGCTCTCAATGGAAGCCATTAAAATCTTTTTCGCCAGTAGTGTACATTTGTCTACTTATAACTTTGCATTTTACATTCTACAACAAATAGTACAGCTGCAAACTACCAGTGTGTGTATGATGTACACAGGTTATGTGTAGGCATAAATCAGAAATACCTTCACATCTACAATTTTACTTGTGGAATTTTAAACAAGCCCAGCGTTAACATTAATCCACTACAGTCAACTAAATTTTCCTGGAGCAGCGTGCAAAATTGCCTTATGTATGTAACACTACATAATTTGAGGAAAGTAGTAACTTGTAGGTGGGGCAACCTAAAATTCTGATGGGCAACCTAAGTTTTGCCGTACGTTGCCTACTGGGCAACCTGGTTCAAAAAGGTATTTTGTACACTGCTGGAGTCCGACAAGAAAACAGCCTGACATATTTATGCATAAACACCTCAGTACACTCAAAGGTTCTCCAATGCTGACCTGATTATTGTAGACCCCCCCTAAGGTACTAAGACTGTTTGTTTTGTGTGCCTCCATACCTGCAAACACAGACCTCAGCCTTCTAGCCCAGTAACACAGGTATTTGCTCCACAGTTGCACAGTCCAATCCTCGTGTTGGACATTACAGTTTAAACTGCTTCGTAATGATACACTGAAAGGTACATGTAGAAGAAACTCACCGAATCAATGACTGTATAGAGTCTCTGTCAAGGAAGTCGTGATCAGTTTCCACTGATGTTATGTCCACAGGAAAGCAGGAATCTACATTGAAAAATGGGAAGAAAAATGTGACGACAATTTAATGTTTGCTCATGTACCTTAAAATAATATAAAACTGACAAGAAAAGACTTGAATGTACTACAGTCTGAGAGAATAGCTAGAATGGATGTATGTTTGTAATTCAGGGGTGCATCAGCCAATCCCTGCTTTTGTACCATTTGTGTCGAATTGAATAAATTGAAATACATTGGACTGAAAACTGGCAAGAATGCTTCATACAAAACATAACCAAGTGTTAAACATGCGTTCAACTTCAGTTTGAAATTCTATTGCAAGACAAGACAAGACAAGACAAGACAAGACAAGACAAGACAAGACAAGACAACCCACCTTCGTACATCTGAGCATACTGGGGAAACCCACAGTCCCGCAGCCACTTGCAAGCTTCTATAGCTTCAAGTTCTGGAACAACAGAAGAGCAGTTAGTCATGCCACATAAACTGACTTCATCATCATTGCCTCTTCATGTCATGTAATGTATATAATAATACACAGTGCACAAAATGATTGCAATGTGTCCAGGTTGATGTGGTTGCTGTTATGATGGTGAAGGAGAGTTAACCCCTTGTCCTATGACATTCCTGGCACAATATTTTTCAATAATTTCATGTCTTAGATCATAGACCCCCAATTTTTTTTGCTCTGCAGTGGCAGTTACTTCCGCATTCGTTGCGTTTCGCTGCGGTGTGATGTGTTGCACGAGAAATACCCCCAAAGAGTGCTATATAGATGGTACTGTATGTGCAGAACAACAATTGTTGTGCTCTCGGGCCTTGGGTAGCCATCCCCAACTTACGCCCTCCCTGCTATTCGCTGTGCCCAAGATGCGTAAACCCTCTATATGCCTCGCTGTGCAACTGGATACGCAAGCCCCCTAGGTCCGCCGTCTCATGGAGGTATGAGATCTCTGAATTCTTGTTTCTTAGTGTTAATCAGGTCACCACCACTTGTTTCTGTCAAAATACTGCATACACCCAAATTCCAACAATTACTGTTAAGAAGTAACTGACATGCCTGTCTAACATCTAGTGACAGTACAAAACATTGCAGAGGTGACTTGGATTTAAGTCAGCACATCGAGGTCTAACAGAATCCAGCTTCAAACTGCCCTTCCCTTCCAAAGGTCACTCCAAAGGTTCCAGCACCACAAAAGCAGAGCCCACTGGGCAACACAGCAACAACTGCTCTGTCAGCCACGGTCTGTTTACACAAGTCGCACAGGCCACAAACAGACAAAGGAGCTAAGAAACCTGTTCTGAATCTGACTCACCTGAAAGCCACATCTCCAGTCTTGGATGGGAAAGCTTAGTCCCAACCCCCCACACAGACAAGCCTCAGGGTCAGGCATGCAAGCCACAGGACCATACACTGATATGCAAATTAGTACACAACCATTACATCAGCTACCAAAATGGGAGAAACCATTATGATAGTGATCCACACTTTCATTCAACAATTTCTCTTGTTCTCTGTTTCAGTATGGCCACTTGAAAGCTGTACATGTATGTCTAACATTAACTAGGATGGCATAATGGCTCCAAATATTTTTGTGAGGAACCTCAGTGTTGTCACTGTACTAATGGTACAGTCTGTTATCAGTGCAAGGCGTGCACAATGGAATTTTGCAGTGCCTTATATCTGCATACACATATGACATACCTGGGCGATAACGTTTGATACGGGTGTTTTGGCCCATGTGATAACTAACAAGCTGTATCACACAGACTTCCAAATGTTCCACAGAATAATTCAAACACATTTCGCGTGGCGTGGTAAGTGCGGTGTTGGAACTGATGTAGTTACAATTTTTTCTTAAGGGACACCAAGTTTTGGCCCATTTCGCATTGAAATGTGTGTTTTCTCAGGTGAGGATGACATAAATAAAATACAACACGTATTGGCATACTTACTATATGATTATACCTACAATTTGTTAGAATAACCCTTAGACGTTTGGTCCAGTGTGACCATTATGGCCATGAAGGACCTATGGTCAACAGGACTGTACAAAGGTCACAGAACACAGTATAACAGAGAACCCCCTGGTGTCTATGATGATGGTATAAAAAGTAGTGAAGACTGGGTAGAAAGTCTCATGTGACCATCAGCTAGGTGTAAACTGTACTGTATGGTATAGGAATATGTTGGCTTTGAGACTGTACGACTTCAACTGCGATGATTTTCCAGTTCAAATATAACGGCAGTCGCGGGCTTGTTATCACGCTAAAAAAATCTGTCCCATGACTCGTGCCACTGGCACCGTGCATCGTTCGCCAAATCCTTTTGCCCCGTGTAAATAGGCCCTTTGACTGACACAAAAAAGTGGGCATCAACCTTTTCAATTTTGTGCAGATCTAGGAGATGAGTTGTATATATAGTACGGAGTATATAGTTTGTCAATATCTCTATTAAAAAGGTGTGAATAAAACTGCATAAAAAATAGCCTGATTGAATGGTTTTACGGTTGACCTCCTGCCCCTGAAAATGCGGGGAGGGGCCACTAAAGCCGTGGATGGCAGAGTTTGTGTTACACAGACTACAAGTACAAGTTGAGTCTTAAGTCAGTGAAAATTGTACATGGTAAACTATGGTTTCTTACTTCTTAGTAGAACCTTAATTTTTTTTAAGCCACTACAATAAAAAACAAGGCTACAAAATTTTCCCATGCCCTTCCCCCCTTGCTAAACCATTTTCCCAGTACGAGTAATTGCTGGGTACCAACAGAGGGATCCAACATTCCTGCATTAAAATACCTTGAAACCTACTACTAGCCAAGAAAGAGGGCATGCATGGGGGGTAGTGATCACGAACTATACAAAATTTTCGCCTTACAAGTTACGTTAAATTCTCAGAGCTGATTATGAACAATTATACGTTACGGCTAATGTACTGATTACGAATTACGATGATTTGGGGCGGCTGCCTACGGATTACGAAGACTAAAAATAGGCCTGACTACGCCTTGCGAAAAAGGGCATGCTGCTGGCCCTCAAGTCAAGACAGAGCAAACATGGAAGGGTAGGATCGCACATGGAATGCAGCTGACACCTGAGTAGACAACGGTCAGTCAACCACTCACCTGTAGTAGGCTGTACACTTCTGTCAACTCTAGAAATCCTTTCCTCGCACGAAACACCAAATAAGACAGTTCACGATGTGTGCTGCCGCTGTGCCGTGTACGTGTGTGTCCCCGTGCTTCCTACCACATACTACTGTAATAAACAGCAGGTACCTTCCTCTTGTGTCGGCCCAGTCCATTGTGGACTGTTTGTTTTCTGAAACGATGATCCCTCTGAGCCGTGAGAACGGAGGTGTGTGTGTATTCGCAAGTTGTGTACAAAAGGATGAAGGGTGCAGCGAAGGAATTTTCAATGGCGAGCGGCGGGTGCAAGGTTACTAATGTAATAGCAACACGGCAACCCTTCAAAGCGCGACTGTCAGTCTAGCCAGAAAATGGCTACCTTATAGGTTGGGAAATGTGCTGTGGACATGTAATATGGTGGGAACTGTTGACAAACGCATTGTCTGACGTAGGAGTCAGGACCCTGGCTGTTGTGCTGGCCACCCGTTAAGTTCTTATTCTGTTCTGCCATTCAACAGTGAGCTATAACCAAACACTTGCAGTGGGTGTTTATTCTCAATAACAACTATCTAACAAAGACGTACCTGGAACCAATAGAGGCAGCCGCACACATAGATTTTACCACAGACGTTTTGTGGCCCCCCTCCCGGGAGCATGTGCCCAAAACCAAACAACAGGATATCTTACCATGAACGTGCTGTCCACACGTGGAGAACACAGCGCAATAAAGGCAGCTACAACTTAACTTACATGGAGATGGGGCACAGAGTTGCAACGCAAACAATGACTTTTGGGCAAACTGACCGTAATAAACACAAACAAGTAAACAATTGTTGTTGCTGACACGTGGACAACACATGCTATATAAAGCAAGATGTACATTGCCTTCCTGTCACATAACTTCCTTTATTGTTCATGGCCACCTGTACTATATTCATGTTTTGTAATGTCTTAGTCTAAGAAGAAGCTTGCACCCAATAAATTTGGCTAACACAGAAACAAACTACCAGACCTCAGTCTACCTCTGACTAGTAACATTTTACTTAGTATTGTATGTATGCAAAAAAGTAAGAATCTACAATTCCCAGGCCCAATATTTTTACCAATGATTTCAATTAATGTTAACCGTAGTGACTGACAAATTATAAATATTTTTCTATTATGCAAAATACCCTCATCTGCATGAATTATTTCAGTTGACCACATTTTCCACCCAAATAACAGGAGTTGTCCAATGATAGCCTTATCATGCCGCAAGTATGACACCATTACCACAAAATTATAGCATTTTCTTATGGATTATGCAAATTAGATATTCATTTGCATGATTCATCTTTCTTCTCTTTCTCAGTTACACACGTCACATGTTTGAATAGTCATGGAATGCAGCAGATGTATAAGATTTCCCCATTAATCATGCAAACTAGATCCTGATCCTTAATTGATTTAATTACGTCAATCATCACTTAAGCTGAGTTTCTGTAAAAATTGAGACTGTTTTACACACTGGAAAAATTTGATGTGTGCAATTTTCCTACGCAAGGGTACTGCTTGCGTAAGGGTACTGCTTGCGTGTAAACCAGACCTAACAGGCTATCTATTCATTATTATCATTCATGACAGTCAAACAAGCAAGGAATCACAGGCAGTTTCTGATGAAAACATTATAAGCTATGTAAGAGGCTTAAAAAGACAACGACTGCCAGTTATCAACAAATAACAGAACTCCTACCATCTTGCACAGGTACTAACTAGTAAACACTTTTGTCCATCATCAGCAGATGAATCTATGGACAAAATTTAGAAATGCAGACTTTGTCAGGCGAAGGTAGCCTCTACCAGGCTTGGGGAGGCGGCTGGAAAGAGTAGAAATCAGCCAAATAGAGAG